CTTTATATTGTTGAAGGAAAATATTGATGAAGCAAATATTGACGAAAGGAAAAGTGCAGCCATGACTTATCCAATAATGAGAAACAGAGAAAAGGATATCATTGTCAGGACTTTCTGAATTTGTCAGCTGCCAGGTTCTAGTTTCACACGCACTTTATCAGATCGGGGGGGGGGAGGGGGGGGGGATAGAGATACTCAAAGGACAGGGGATTTCCATGCTCTCCTCTAAAATATAATAGACAACACCATAGAAATGGTTTACTTTTCACCATGTGAACTGCAGCCAATTGAGATTATTCCTTAGTTTAAATGACATGTTGATTCCATGATTTACTGAAATCTTATTTTGCCTTTTTGATGGCTGTTTTGATCAGTTACCTGTGGTGCAGTGGTGAGTTGCCCCCGGTTCTATAGAACGGGTAGTAAAACTGGTGGGAGGCTCCGCCCACTGACCCCGACATCATCAAAATGCTTCTGCACATGCGCAGAAGTTTCTGCGCTTGCACATGGCCCCGTTGCAAACCGGTAGTAAAGATAAGTAGAACCAACCTCTGCTGTGATGATATTAGCTGGGGTTATTTTATTTATTTATCATATTTTTATAGTCGTTCATCTCAGGTGGTGACTCTGGGTGACGGACATAATAAAACAATTCAAATATCTGAACCCATCAATAAAAACAAAATGGTGAGATTTCGTTATTGATAGAAGCATATGAGTTCTGGACAAAGTCCATGAGTTTCACGCTTAAAGTTCAGAAAATATTAATGTCAAAAAATGGAACAGGATAATAACAAGTAGGATATGGGGATAGGATCAAAGCGGAGTTATGAAATAGATGTTTTGCACGCATGATGCAGAATTTGGTATTTACTATTTTCAATCAACAACTTGGTAGCTAACATCTTTTTTGTTTCATGTCACAAGAAATGGAAGCATTTATAGCTGATCTGCCTTTCTACTTCTTCTCCCATCCTATTAGCATCTTTCTTTTATATGTACTGATCTGGAATCACACAGAGAACAATGGAAAAGCAAATGCTAAAGATTTATTTGGTAATCAAATAAGAAATGAGAGAAGTGACAAACTAACTGCAACGATGTTATAACTATAGCATTAAAACAGAAAAATAAATGTGCAAGACATATTGTACATTTATCAGACAGAGATGAACACAAAAAGTAACATGGTGATGGCCCTATAAATAACACATGTCCACTTGGATTACCTTAGATGGACTATGAAAAGATCTCAGTCCCAATTGGGTTGCCATAGCAAAAGATTGAATGAAGCTGTCATTTCATATATTATCTGAATTTCAACATTATCTGGATGAAAATGACAGTGAAGTGATAAAGTGAAAATGATCTACACTGAATGCAAGTTCCTTGGAATTTAATTGCAAGAAGATATGAAGTGGCAATAAAGCAAAATATGTATAAAAATCAATGGCTGAACTAATTTAAATGTTACTGCTTTTTAGATACGTTGAAGGTGTAGAATTGCACTTCCACCAAACACTAAGAAAGATCCTATCAGAAGAAATTATAGACTGTGTTCACACAAGGAAATCCATGGTTTAATTAACCATAGTTAACTAATTCAACCTAATTGATTGGATTCACATAACATACTACGCCATGATCTGCCACAACCATTTGTGAGAAGAGAAATATATCCATTGGGAAGTTGCAGGTAGTAAGGCCTAGGAGTGGGCTTGCAGGCCTCACTGAATCAAAGTTGTAAACTAACATAATTGCAAAATATACCAGGCATATTTCTAATGTGCTGACTTGTGTGCTGCATTTTCTGCAAAGTACGTGGCTTTGAGATATATTTGGAATCAGAACATTGAAACTGTGAGAAATAGGGAACTGAAAGTAGACGATGGATAGAGGTTTGAGATGTACATGGCAGTGATGAAATGTAAAATTTGATACTACCGGTTCTGTGGGCGTGGCTTGGTGGTGGTGGGGTAATATGACTGAGTGGGCATGGCCAACTTTTTTTTTTTTTTTACTTTTAAAACCATTTTTTCTACAACCTCTTCAGCTGAAGAGGTTGTAAAAAAAGTGCTTTTAAAGCCTCTGACGATCCCAGCTGACTTGCCTGATCGGCAGAGGCTTTCTTTTTTTTTAAAAGCCTCTGACGATCCCAGCTGACTCTGGGGTTGGCAGAGGCTTTTTTTCGTTTTAAAAACATTTTTTCTATAACCTCGTCGGCCAAAGAGGTTGTAGAAAAAATGCTTTTAAAAATTAAAAAAAAGCCTCTGATGATTGCGCGACTCAGCTGGGCAATGAGGGGGGGCAGGGATTTTTTCTACCGGTTCTCTGAACCACCCGCCTCCATCGCTACCAGATCGGGCGATCCAGTCCGAACCGGGTGCATTTCACCCCTGGTACACGGGTGTTTTCAGACAGTGACGGTCATAAGAATGTACGAAAGAATAAGAAAGTGAAACTATGGAATGTGTATGTCAGTAAAAAAGAAGGTATAAGAAATGTGGCTTGAGATGAGAATGGTGTCCTTTGCCCGATAGCAGTCCTTGCAGGACCTGCTATGTGACATTGGAACCCATTGCAATGGCTTAATAATGTAAGTTTTGTTGTAGAATTGCATTTCTATGATGGCTGTTCATGTTCCAAATTGCTCATGAATAAACCTCTGAATCTTAAAGTAAGATTTATTGCTTCTGGTTTCCACTTTGGGTTTTTTATTGGGGCATTTTTACGACACATTTTAGGTTGGTATATCAACCATAGACATTAATAGATGGGTAAGTTGCAGCCTTTCAGTTATTGCTGAATTAAAATGCTCAGCACCCTTCATCCTTAACCACTGAATGCCTAAACCAGGGATGAAATGCTCCCGGTTCGGACCGGATCACCCGATCCTGTAGCAATGGAGGCGGGTGGTTCGGAGAACCGGTAGCAAAAATCCCTGCCCCCCCATTGCCCAGCTGAGCCGCGCAATCATCAGAGGCTTTTTTTAAATTTTAAAAAAATTGGAGACTTTAAGATATGTGGACTTCAACTCCCAGAATTCCCTATCCATCATGGGAGTTGAAGTCCACACATAGCATTTTCGTTATTCCTGGAGCGCTACAGGTTCCTTACCTTTGCTTAGGCTGTAAAGCAGAGATTGATCATTGTTTTCAGGCTCTGGATTCTTCCTCCAAATTATCTGAAACCTTGTGAGATCCCTTATTTCAGGACTCTTCCCCACAGTTTAAATCTTGTGTCATTATAGCTATTTAAAAATCCATATAAAATAATTTAATTTGGAGGAATGACATTAGTGCATTGCCAAGAGCAGATTTTCTAGGCTGGTATCTTTGGATGTATTGGGATTACAATTCCCAGAATTCCCAGCCAGTCATTCATGGTAATTCTGGGTAGGAATTTTGAGTTGAACTTTAAAACAGGATGGACAGCTTAGAATTCTCTAGAAATGTTGGTCTGTTACTTCTGCAATGCCTTTTGTGTTTGCCTCTATTAGCTGATGGAACTGAAATCTCCAGGGGCTTGGAGACACCAATGCTAGTTGGAACATTTCTGGAGGGTGCAGAATTGGGGAAAGTTTCTATAGAGGAGGGAGAGAAAGAAAAAAGAAGACACAAGCCTTTTCTATGGAATTTGGATTTCATTCACATCCCCCACAATTATTAGTACCGAAGAAATTCAACAACCAGTGACATTTGGCAAGGATATAAAATGTGGGCTTGTCAAGGTTTCTTCTGGAGCATTAGGACATCTGCATTCTCAACATTATGGAATCATGGCCATCTGGGGGTGGGGGTGGGGGTCTGTGCAAGAACAACAAATGACATGTAAATCATGCAGAATATACTGTATACTTGTATCAGATATCACAATATAGATTACATAATTAGGTTACTTGCACAATATCATGCTATACATACTGTGTTTTTGATGTTATTTCGACTTGTAATAATGCCTATAACAATACTGCTTGTTCCTGAATGCAACATAACTTACGTTTCGAACTTGTCCCGATCTGGTTGTTTATAAAAATAGAGCCAAGTTGGACTGCATTAGTTGTGAAAGGAATAACTTTATTCAAGCCAAGTGTTTACAAGATAGAAAAAGGCAGATCTGAGGCTTGAGCGTGAAAACTGCCTACTTGCTTTCCCCTTTCCCAGGTCCCCACCCCTGCGACTATTCCCCGGGGTCCAATTGGACTAAAAACAAATAGTTGGGTAATGGTTCTGACGTTTGGTGGGCTCAGTGATGTTCCGCATTGCATTCCCATGGTTGTGAGCTTGTATCCGGTTGGCCGATCTCTCCCCCTGCCCCAGGATTTATGATACTCTGGCATCAGCGAAGCAGCAGTGAGGCGAAGCAGGATGGCAGCATTGACATTATGTTTCCTTGCTGTGCGTTGTTCAAAAATTAACAGGCATTAACATTATAAAAATGCATTTATTAAAAACCTTCTTGTTAAGTTCAGACAATAGGCTCGGCCATGTTTTGTTTAATGATGACTCATTGGTTAACCATAACCGACTGCGTTCATACAAAATGGTCAGCTTTGAAACATGCTTTAAAATTTACAGAGGTTGAGTTCACACGCTATATTAAATCAAATCCAAAGAAACTTTATTACAGCTTAAAATGACATGCAAATCAGTGGTGAAATCCAATTTTTTTTACTACCGGTTCTGTTGGCATGGCTTGGTGGGCATGGCAGGGGAAGGATACTGCAAAATCCGCATTCCCTCCCCACTCTGGGGCCAGCCAGAGGTGGTATTTGCCAGTTCTCCGAACTGCTCAAAATTTCCGCTACCGGTTCTCCAGAACCTGTCAGAACCTGCTGGATTTCACCCCTGATGCAAACACAGTCATTGTATCAATGAACCTAGTTACATAGATTTCAAATTGTTTGGTATGGCTGCTTGCAGCCGACACACTACTGTTGAAACGGTGAATGAATTGTTATGTGTTATTGTCTCCCACTAATTGTTGCTTCACTCCTACAGCCTCCAGTCCATCTCCAGAAAGACAGGATGCCACAAGACCCACAAGCAAAAATCCTTTGACCTGGACTGTTGATGACGTGGTATGGTTTGTTAAAGATGCAGATCCTCATGCTTTAGGACCCCACGTGGAACTCTTCAGGAAACATGTACGTAGAAGGCTTTCTACGATAAAATGACAGGATCCAAATTTAACCTTCTAGCAAACTGCTTTGGTCTGTACTTGAATCAATGTAAATTGAAATTGAAATGGACAGCTGACAAACATTAGACAAAGTGAGTCTTCCTCCAGGCAAATAGAATTAATCTAGGGCAGTGTTTCTTAATCTTGGCAACTTGAAGATGGGTGAAGTTCAACTCCCAGAATTTCCCTGCCAGCATGGAGTATTTTGGGAGTTGAAGTCCATGCGTCTTCAAGCCAGCAGGGGGAATTCTGGGAGTTGAAGTCCATGCATCTTCAAGTAGCCAAGGTTGAGAAACACTGAACCCGGATCTCACGTACAACTTGATGGCACTCATATCTTAGAGAGCCTGAGGTGAGGCTTGGATGGATTCAGAGAGGATCTAAAGCTTGTTGTTAGTGCTACAGCTAAAGAGGGACTCCAGGGCCAGGCAGCCTGCCACTGAGGGTCAATTGTAGGAGAACTGAATGGCAGAACCATCTTTTTGTGCACTCCCCGGAAATACCACTTCAGTCGCTGTGGGAAAAAGTCTGCTGAAGAGCTAGCTGCTAGACTAATGGGCTGACCTTGTTTGGCTTTTCGTTTTCAGTCAGAAGAGTATCCAACAACTAGGCTTGCTAGCATTTTTGTAAAATAACAATCCTTTGTAAGAAAGATGAGAAATCAAAGATACCTTAGTTTTAAATCCTCCCCCCACCCCGGCACTCGCTTACCTCCTGCTTATAATTCAGTCAGCTTCGCAGGGAAACCTACAAGAGGTCTAGTGGTTGATTAAAACTATCACTGCATTCAGCTCAATTATGCCTTTGAATTACTCATTTCTGAGCAATTGTTAACCTTCATAACTAAACTGGATTAACAAGAAGACACCAGAGGTGAGAGACAAGTGATTACTCCATTAACCTTAACCACAGTTTTCAGCACGTTAAATCATTTTAAAGTGCAGGTGCATCATTTAAACTGATGTCCTGAATGCCACTGACATTCCCAGCTCCTGACTTCCCTTCCTTGCATTCAGCTAATTTGACATGCCACCACTGTCCAGTGAGAAGAATTATTCATTTAACTTATCACAACGAAGAGAGATCAGCAATGTATATACCGAAAACAACATCTGTGACATCAACACTGTGTGTCTTAATTAAGGCATGCTTCATTACTCTTGGGATGGCTGACTTTCACCAGATCCTAAATCCCTACATTTGGTAGACATTCCTTGCCCGCTGGGCCGACCTATGCACTTTCAAGGGAGAAGTAGAACAATAAAAGGAAAGTTGGGGCTGGATTTAAATATTGGCTGAGTGCAACAGGCTTCCTTTGGTCGCAGCTTAGGTTATGTAAACTCTGCCCTTATTGTTTCTAAGCCAGGATTTATAGCTTAGTATATTGTATAAACACAATTGCTTGTGGTTTGTTCAACAAGCTGTACGTAAAACAAATTGTGCTTGAGTGTGGAAACAGTGTTCATGGGTACAGTTAAAAATTGAAGCCATCAGGCTAACTAACAAATAAGAAAGCCAACCCAAAAATGAGATTTTGATGCAACAGAATTCTCAATGAATTCTGATTTGGGACCAAAAAATTAATACAGAAGAGAAAGTGCGGCTTTTGAATGAAGACAGATTTACCCTATTCATTCAGAACTGGACGCTGAGCTTGTCGATCGAAAGGTCTGCAGTTCAGCAGTTTGAATCCCTAGTGCCACGTAATGTGGTGAGCTCCCGTTACTTGTCCCAGTTTCTGCCAACCTAGCAGTTTGAAAGCATGTAAAAAAATGCAAGTAGAAAAATAGGGGCCACCTTTGGTGGGAAGGTAACAGTGTTCCATGCGCCTTTGGCATTTAGTCATGCTGGCCACATGACCACGGAGATGTCTTTGGACAGTGCTGGCTCTTTGGCTTTGAAACGGAGATGAGCACCGCCCCCTAGAGTCAGGAACGACTAGCACAGATGTGTGAGGGGAACTTTTACCTTTACCTCAGAACTGGATCTGCCTCCTCCAATGATGCGTAGAACTGAAAGCATATGTATTTGTTACGACCAAACCATCTTTGTATGGATTATTTTAACATTATTTCCAATTAGTTTACCCTTTACCTTAATAGAGTGATTATACTGCTGGGCAGAATAAAGTTTGCCTTCTCAGTTGTTTTAAAAACAGAGCAAAAGGGAAAAAAAGAGACGGCAAAGCAATCCTTCCATTTCTGTTCAATTACCAAGCAGAATGTTTTACACTTTAAGAAGCCACAGCAAAGTCAGCCTTGTGATTTAAAGCTTGTTTGCATTGGTTAGTGGGTTCTTTCGGAGAGGTTTACACCACTCTTGAAATATTAAACCTGACAGTCAGTGTTCACAGGATTAGATTGTAATAAAGCAACATGAAATGTTTCCAGTTGCTTTATACTTTTGCAGCCTCACAGCAGAGTTTGAGAAGCCAGTGCATCTTATGAGCTCCGGTGGCCATTATAAACCACCCCTGAAATGATTAATATAGTTCAGCTTTATAACTGAACCAAGCCTATGATGGAAGAATTTGTACTCAATCACTGCCTGGCGTGCTGTTTCTGCTTTACAAAATTCTCCGGAGCTTTTTACGTTAACCCCAGATTGCTGGATGTTATTTAGCCGTACTTTGGATTGCAACACACCCTAGCTTTTCTAATTGGTGCAATATACCCTTAATGAAGGAGATCCCAGCAAGTGAATCATGGAGAGGAGGATCTGAGGAATACATTCTTTTTACAAGAAATGTGGGGTTTTAGGACAATGCACGATCCTCCTGGTTGTGGGAACTTATTTCCTGCCTCTGTGCCTGGGCTCTGGAACTAGCTGGTAACGGCCCCTTGTCCTTCCTGTTTTTACTAGGGGTTGCAATCTCCCATTTCACGAAGAGGACAATTTTTGCACTGTGAATATTGTCCCCAAATTCTTTCAACTTTAATAGAAGCTGCTCAGCTTTTACTGGCCAGGCATGTTTCGTGTCTGGTGAGAACCATGAGACTTGAACTGAAGTCTCCATCCTTTCTACCTGATTTCAGACACAGAACACATAAAAAGGGGACAGAGGTTCAGTAGTGCAGCCAAGGTTGCCATCTTGACTTTTTTTGATATCTCCTGCAAAGATCCTATAAGAGGCAGGTTTTATAGTTCATATTTGAACTGTTTTGCTTTAGTGCATTAGTTAATGTCTTTTCCTTTGCTGTTCATAGTCATCTCAGTCTGACTAAGAGCATAAGAGCCGTGGTGGCACAGTGGTCAGAATGCAGTACTGCAGGCTAATTCTGTCGGCTGCCAGGAGTTCAATTCTGACCGGCTCAAGGTTGACTCAGCCTTCCATCCTTCTGAGGTCGGTAAAATGAGGACCCAGATTGTTGGGGGCAATATGCTGACTATATAAACCACTTAGAGAGGGCTGTAAAACACTATGAAGCAGTATATAAATCTAAGTGCTATTGCTATTGGGGGCTTGAAGAAGTTCCCATCCCTGTTACTTGATTTGTTAGTTTGTAGTTGCTGCTGCTGTAAAAGATCATATCTCCTTGTGACTATGTAGTCCTCCAAGAACAGACATCTGACACTGGCTCTGTACTTGCAGGACTTGTTGGAAGTTGGACCATCAAGAAAATCAACAGCTGCTTCTGAAATTTGACTTCAGTTTAGGCTTATGCTCACATGTTTAGTGCTTGTCTCTTCATGGTGTTTCATTATTCAGTGATCTCGTTATTACTTTTGTGTTCATTTACATTTTTATGGAAGGTATTTTAATGTTGTATTCTGCCAGATGTTGCATGGCATAGCAGGTTTCATGAACGTATTTTAAATAAATAAATTCACCAGCACTTCAGTTAAATAGATCCAATTCTGGAATGGTAGAACATTTGGGAATTGAGGTCCTACTTTGTTGAATTTCTCAAAAATGTTTAGTATCGTCAGAGAGGTGCAGGTCAATTCTTTCTACAGCATTGCAGCAAATTGTTTTATTTCTTCTGCAAACACAGTTCCAAATTATGATTTATGCTTTTCATTCCGTCTTCTGTCTTTCTTTTTGTATTAGGAGATTGATGGCAATGCTCTCTTGCTACTGAAAAGTGACATGATCATGAAATATTTGGGTCTGAAGCTGGGACCAGCACTCAAACTCTGTTATCACATCGATAAATTGAAACAAGCCAAGTTCTGATGCTTTTTTAAAAGACCGAACAATTCCAATATAAATCAAGGAAGTAGATGAAAGGTAACAAGTTGCCTTATGGGAAGATAATCCATTTTCAAGCTGCTTCTCCTCTGTTTTGTACTGAGAACTTGGCCTTTCTAAAAGTGTTCATCTTCACCATTTTAATTCTACGAAGGGGGGGGGAGGGCTGACGTGTTTTGCTGATTTGTGTGAATACTTTTCCAAAAAAAGGTATACAATTATAATTATTTTGTATTATTCATATTGTTATTGTTAATATTATTATTAAGCCCTATTTTTGTAATCATAAAAGAAAAATTGTACGCTAAAAGATCTTCCCTACTTTTTAGAAAAGGAGAAATTTGAAAAGCTTTAGGAAACCTTCTTCTGGGCTGCTTCACTTAAGCCTGGCCATTACATCTGGCCATGTCAGGTGACTTGCCTTATGAATTTGCTATCAAGAGTCAGAGCACTCTCATATCACGTCAAACAGAGTGGTTTTCAATTGGAATCAATGAATGCATTTAGCTGCCAGTCATCAATTGTAGTCTAGCAACATTTATGCTTCTGCGAACAAACTCATAATCTAATTCTTTTGTGTAACCACACATGCATTCCTTCAACAGGAGACCCATCTATATATTGCCCAGTGATCTGGGAGGATCACAGAATATACTGGGAATAAGAAGATAAAAATTGTGCATTTACTTGGTGATACACTGCGAATTTAATCATTTTACGTGGCATTCAGCCTGTAAACCGACTGAACAGCTAACTGTACGCTGTTCTCCAGGTTCTTCCTTGCTACCCTGAATCATATGCTTTCCTACATAGTCATCAGCATGAAGGTTTCAGTAATGTGATTTTGGATATCCAGGAGCATGTCGGCAACAGATTGTTTTATAACATGATAAGTATACAACATGTCACCAGTTGAAAATAATGAGGAAATATCCCTTCTCTAGTCTGCCCCCAAAATCTAGGACATTACAGTAATGTAGAAACCCACAGTTTCTTTAACTCTTGACTGCCCAAGCTCTAGATCAAAGGACGTGACCAAATATTCATACTTCATAGAACTGCTCCATCCTCTTTGAAAATGTTATGTGACAATTGTTAACATCACTGGAACAAAAGTCACAGATGCTAATTTGCTTAGTCATTCTTTGGTGGTTAGCTGGCTTACCAAAGCTGTCCTGAATGTGCAGAGAAACAGACTGCAAGGAGCAAGAGGTCACATATCTCCCAAAGCTTTGAAGTGAACAACATCTGCCTGCTCCAAGCTTGAAGTAACTCAAGGGAAGTATATATTTTAGCAACTTGTAATAGAAAGATTGCTTGTTGCTGGCCAGGAACCATTACCAGTGATTGCTTAGCAGTCAAATTTGTAATCCACTCTGAGCCACATTTTGTACCAACTTTGATGTGATTTGGTTAACTAAAATAATACTGCAGTTAATTATTTGATGCGTGCATGGTGATCATAGGTTGATTAGATAAGAGCCAGGAAACCTACAAATTTGTATCCAATTAACTGAACATATTATGTTATACTATGGTATTATGGGAAAACTGTCCGGTGGTTTGCACTATTTTGAAAACTTGAATTATTTCAGTAGAAACAGGAGTATTTCTCTCTCTTATCTGAAGTATTCTGTTTTGTCACAAGAGGATTTGATGTTAATCAACTCCAGTCTTGAGCTGTGATAGCATCATTGCACTCTAAAGAGCAACTTTCCCTTGAGTGATATCTCACCTTTAATCAAATATGGGTTTATAGCTTCCACTCTAATCAACCCTTCCTGCTGCAGATTGTGCTTCTACTTTTCACATGTAGAAGAGAGTTTTTGGATTGATACCAGAACAGCAAATGAAAGTCCTACGGTCAGGAGTTTGGGATAGGAAGCCCACGAACCAAACAAATTTCTTGACCAACAATTTTCCTTCTTGGCCTGGTCCTATTCTGCAAGTATTGTGTAATTGGAATGAGGGGGGCACCCCACACAGATAATGCATCAGGAACAGTGGTGGGATTCAGCCAGTTTGCACCACTTCGGGAGAACCGGTTGTTAACTTTTGAGCAGTTTGGCAAACTGGTTGTTGGAAGAAATCATTAGGGCAGAGAACCGGTTGTTAAATTACTTGAATCCCACCACTGATCAGGAAGAAAGGTAAAATAATTAAACACTGCACTCTAGAAGAAACATACATTATCATTAATTTTATCTTGTGGCTGAAATTACAAAAATTGCATTAATCATCAACAGATGTGTTATCCTATACAGTTGTACTACATGTCTGCCATTATTCCATCTACATTGCTACATCTGATAAACCGTGGGAGAAGGTGAGAACAAGATCTTTTAAGTGATAAATTGGAAAAATTGAATAATACCTTGTTTTTCTCGGTTTAAAAATTGTGTGTAAGTACATCTCAGAGAAAAAATATTGGGAATATTGGGAATGTATCGGGAATATATATTGGGAATACATTACAGTTATTCTAACCTTTTTGTTTAGATTAACATAATCTCAAATACCCTGGAAATATTCAGAGTATTGGTGTCCAAAAAGAGAACAGATACATATATTCTTATTGTTATTAACTTGAATAATGTTACATCTTGTTGCTGCAAGGCATGGACTTTTCTACATGCATCAGATGTTTTACAAATAGGGAAAGAGGCCACTTGGAGTTTGTCACATGCACAATGTCAGCATATCCACAACTACTGGTCCTTAGAGGTCCATAACTTGGCATCCTGTTAGCATAATTGCAGGATGGGTCCCACAGGAACCTCCCGCTTGCAAACGAGCAGTTGTCTTTCAGAATCGTCTTATTATGGTTAGATCACCTTCTCATTAGACTGGAGGTATATATATATATACATATCTTGATCTCTAGGGGTTTAAACTATTTTTGTAAGCACATTTAAATCAGGTCAAGCCCTCTGAGGTTTGGTCAATTAAACTGAAATACATATGTGAATAAGCTTAACAGTGTATCCAATAACTGAAGAAGTAAGCTCTGAGGTGGCATAGAGGATTAATTCCTTTAACTTGAAAATTTGGGAACACACGAACAAGATATTTGTACAGTTGTACAGTTAAGCACAATTCTTGCTTTTTAAGACAAAATTGTTCTGTTTCATCTGAGTGTATATAGAGTTGAATATAACTGTACTGTTGAATTCTGCAATCCCATGACAATCTTGTCTCATTCTTACTCCTCAATGGGGACATGATTTTGTCCTTTAAGTGCAATTCTTTGTTCTGTTTCATGGAAATAACCATATGTAAATATTGTTCCTCTTCAACAAGCATTCAATTTTCATGAAGATGTCTCCCATTTTGATGAATCCTTGTGATTTTTTTTATGATTAATCAAGATATCCACCTCATTATGTTAGCTTATCCCACATTAAAAGGCTGTATTGGTTCCTCTGAATTTAGAGTTTATTTTCTTTCCCCCCCCCCAACCAATGAATGACTCACAAGTCTGAGCTGCACCACAAAACCACTTTTATGGATCTGTTGCCATTTACTCATAGCTCATAGTGGCTGCCAGCCTTTCCCACCTATTGTGTCACTGTACAATTCTGTGCATGCTTATTTGAAAATAAAGTCTATTGAGCTGAGGGCAGTAAATTCTGAAGAAATATGGATTGGATTTCTGTGCATGAACCTTGCATATAAAATGACTACCTCTCTAAATACATATGGGGCAGTGCCATTTAGATGCCCTTAAAATAAAAAAAAATCAGATGCACATAATATCATAAACTGGATTTATGGCTTTGAGCACTCAGTCATTAGTAATAGAAGATGCGAGAGAATTGTGTAGATGCTGGTGCAGTAATTAAGATGGCTTAACTTTGAGATGGATGCAGCTGAAAATAACCCAGGTTCACATATTTCCATAAGGCATGTTTTTTCTTAACCAGGGCTTGTTGTATAAATTATCAACCATGCACATGGTTTGATTCACACAACATGCTAATAAAAATAATCTAGGAAATCACACTGCTGTACCCAACTATGGAAAGATAATTTTTACAATTACACATTGCCAAACATTGGTGTATTTGCTTCCCTTGCCTTCCAGAGCAGGAGTGACATTACAGATAGTCCTTGACTTACAGCCATTAGTTTAGTGACCGTTCAAAGTTACAACCACCCTGGAAAAAGGGAGCTATAACTGGTCCTCGCATTTACAACTGTCACAGCATCCCATGGTCATGTGATCAAAATTCAGGAAAAGGGCAACTAGGATATATTTATGACGGATGCAGCATCCTGGGGTCATGTGATAACCTTTGCAACGTTCCCAGCCAACTTCGGACAAGCAAAGTCAATGGGGGAAACTGGATCTGCTTAATGACCTGGTAATTCACTTAATAACTGCAGTAATTAGCTTCACCGTGCAAAAAAAGGTCATAAAAATACAGAATGACTCCCTTAACAACCACCTTGTTTAGAAATGGAAATTCTGGTCCCAACTGCCGTTGTAAGTCAAGGACCACCCGTACTGCAATTATCCTTACAGCAGAAGATGGTATTATGTATGTGTTTACTGATCAGCTCATTAGCCCTGTTCCACCGAAATGAGCAGCACTTAATCTGTCTTCAGACTATCCATTCATTGGTGGCTCTTGAATGCAAAACAAAGGAAATACACCAGGTTACACTTCTATTATCACAATGAAACTGAAATAACTGAGCTTTCTTTGAATTAGTATAAATTGTAATACAGAATAAAATAATGTTCCATTAAATGCATTAAAGAGGAGTGTGAAGGGACAAATTCTGCCTATGTTACATGCATCAAGATGATTTAACTGTGTTTGCAGGTGAGTAGTTCCTGTTTAGAAATTCTTAAGAGTAAGAAGCATCTATCGTGCTTTCCCTTTGAGAGCTGTATGGTTTCCCAAAGTAAACTGCCAGACTAAACTTCCCCATTTTTAATATACAATTCTGATTTTCTACAGATAGCAATTAGACTTATATACCGCTCCATAGTGCTTGATATACCACTCTTTGAACAGTTTTCAGAGCCAGCATATTGCCCCCAACAATCTGGATCCTCATTTTACCAATCTTGGAAGGCTGAAAAGCTGAGTCAACCTTGAGCCGGTCAGGATCGAACTGCTAGCAGTCGGCAGGGTTAGCCTGTAATATTGCATTCTAACCACTGCGCCACCACAGCTCTTTAAGTTATCTAATAGTGATGTTTTTAAAACTTTGTGAAAATGGGTGCAACAATGAGAGCGTGAAGATAATGTTAAGCTTTTGTGCTAAGGGAGGAAAAATATATACAAAGGAAGGCTTTAATGAAGTATTGCTACCATGTGCTGTGTTCCTGCATATTATGAATGGAAAAACATTTTAGGAGCCTGAACATCTATAAACAATATAGCAATTATCTCAGTTCCTCTTGCGAATGGTGTCAAAGACATTTGTTTAGTTGTTAGATATGCTTGTCAGACCACTTCTTGCGAACGAATGGTGCTGAAATGTCAGAAATTCCTTGTCATTCCTTTTTAAATTAGCTGCTGTTTCAGACACAGGCTGTACAAAATACGTGGCTGTTTGTTGGTCATCCCTTCGCTTTATTCCAAACCACAGACAATCAAGGCATGTTTTGATGTCTTCCAGACAGGTAGGGATTACAGGTATGTGTTCTCCAGTGCAATTGATTTCATCAGTCTAGGCTTCATTTGGTTTTTATGGGAGAACTCTGCTTCATCCAAAGCCCTTGTTTGCGACAAGTTTTAAAGACATTTTACTTCCTACAGAATTTTGTTGCTAAGCCATGGGAAGGAATATATCATTTGTGATGCCACTGCAGTGCCAATTAACTGAATTATTTCCCATCGTTTCATAGTTTGGGCTGTTTGTTCTATTGAAATCAGGAAAATAAATGCCTGGATTTGAACTTCCCATCCAGGATTTATGGACTACCTGGGCAGCAGTATCTGTAAAGAGTGGTTACCACATGCCCACAAATGTCTACAGGCATTGGTGCTCTCAGTGGTACTTATGCTGTGTCTGCCAAACACCATGCCTGTTCATTTTTTACTTTTACTTGGGCTATTTTAATGATAAGGCACTAAATGAGAAGCCAGCAAATGATAAAACAGCACCAACTATAAGCATCAGTATTTAATTCCAAGAAGGAGGGGAGGCCTTCTTCAAAACACAAAAAGGAATGAATGAATGAATAGATGGAGGCTACTTGAATGCTTTTTTGCTATGATGCCTTTTTTCAACTTAATCAGTATCAAGGACTGACCTTTGAATGTTCACTTCAACCTGCACCTTAGTGCAAAGATTCTGTAGCATAATTTGCAATAATATTAACAACGTAACAATAAATAACAACATAGATAAATTAGGGGTTCCAATGTTATGTATGTATTTTTTTAAATTTTTCTGTTGCTTTTCTACTTAGTAAAAATAAAAAAGGAAGGGTGGGGAAACAAAAATCATTGGTCGGAGCAGCCCAGTAATTTGTTTGGACCTGAGAGACCAGAGCAGGTACAGGTAGTCACTTAACAACTGCAATTGAGCCTGGATTTTCCATAATAAGTCACTGCAGTCATTAACATGCCACCCTGTGACCTGATTTGATTTTATGATTGCTTTTATGATGATTGGAAAGCAAGTTACCATGGTTAAGCAAACGGTGTGGTCATTAAGCAAATCCATTTTCTGAAATGGGGAGGTTTTTTTGCTAGATGCATGCAAAAAATGTTGCAATCGTGATCACGTGACTGTGGGATGCTGCAATCAGTTGTAAAGCTAGCTAGTTAGTTGCTAAGAATCTGAAATGTGATCACACGTCCACACAGAAGGTGCGGCAGTTGTAATTTGGAGGATGGGTCATAAATAACTTTTGGGTTGTGTGTGTCATAATTTCAAACATTTGTTAAGCAAGGGCTACCCGTAATGGGGAACAACCTCACTATTTTACTCTTCTGTAAATGGATGTCTTGGGATTGGCCATATCCATCCTAGCAGCAATTACACCCAACCAATCCAAATGTTCCCACAGTTCATATTTGACAGTACTCCTTTTACAGTTTTTTAATTTTGCAAAATCTTTGGGATTATTCACATTCCAGTGCAGGGATGAAGATTACAATGACCCTCTTAGTTATTGCTGAAAACATTTAACAGCAGTGGACAAGTGGATTGAAGCTGTTGAGAGTTGGGAGACTGGCAAAAAGTAGGAGACAACTGGTTCTCGTGGGAAATTTAAAATTGATTGATTTTCCTGGATCTGCTCAAAGCATGACTAGATTCAACCCAAGTAAATTTATTTACAAATCACATTAAGCCGGGATAATGGGCTAAACTGGATATAGGGTGAAGTTAGACCGGGAGAGAATGTGTGGGCTGTATTGGGGGAAAATAGCTGTGGTGCCAGGTTCTTCAGTTTTTGGATTATTGTTTGGGGTTTTAGTGTGTATTTGTGGTTTTTGGTCTTGATCATAAGCTGCCCAGAATTTGGTTGAAGATGGGAGGCTATAAAAATATTTGAAAGAAATAAATCTTAGCCTCACCAATGGAATGTCCTAACTATGACTGTAAATGCAGTAACCTCCAAGTGTAAGAACAACATACATAAATTCACAGACTGGTGGAGGGAAGGCAAAAAATAAGGATACGCACAAATACTTTGGATTTCTTTTTACATGTTGCTGCTGGATTGTACTCAACTGTTTGTGGGCAATTAGCTTTCTTATTTTTGGAAACTAGACATTTCTCCTCTCTTCCCACCACTTTTATTCATTGCTGTAAGTTAAATATTATGGAAACAAGTCTGCTTATTATTTGCTTTGTAAGATTTGTGCTAATGCTAATAAGCAGCAGCTGTGAAGCATTTCCTCACAAATGGTTTTTAGGCTGTGGTTCTATTAACACACATGTTCTGAGAAAGTATGAAAAATGCACAGTGCCCCTTCTGCCCCCCCCCCTCCCCGCATGACACAGCATGAATTCCAATTTGATTCAAAATTCAGTTGGAGTTAGGAAATACATTAGAGAATGGATGCCTAATCCTTGTTACTCTAAGGATTCCTTGCCTCTATTGCACAAAATAATGACACCACCCCCCCACTCCATATTAAGGAATGTAGTCAGAATAGTTTTTGCTGCCTCAAAATTGTGGCCCTGAATGTTCTCTGTCCTTTCTTCTTTTTCTTCTATTCAAATATTTGGAATCACCCAGTGATATTCAAAAGCAACATTTTTGTTATCCAATTCACAGTGCTGCATCAGCCTAGAATTTTAGTATTCTAATTATACAGAATTCTATAGGTAAAAGTAAAGGTTCCCTTTGCACATATGTGCTAGTCGTTCCTGACTCTAGGGGGCGGTGTTCATCTCTGTTTCAAAGCTGAAGAACCAGCGCTATCCGAAGACGTCTCCGTGGTCA